CTCTCTCTCTCTCTAACCAGAGATTTTTGTCCAAGCCATTTATTGTTAAGCAAAAGATCTAGAAAGGGATTGTTGAAACTCTTCTTTAAGTGCTTAATACCCATATTCTCACCCATAAAAATGCACATGGACTCCTCCTCTTAATAAGCAGACAGCTGAGTGCAGGTCAACCTGCTCTAGATCCATTTTCAGCACTGAGGATGGAGGAAAGCTTGCTGTGGAAGATAAGGAAAGCTACTGATTATTTGGAATCTTTTCTTCTGGCACCACTTTAGCTAGTTGGATATTTCACGACCACTGTGACACAGTCACAATGACACAGTCTAGCCTCTTCTCTCTTTCCAGCATCCAGAGTGACTTAAGCAGTTTCCCAGACCTGTGCAGGGTGAGGGACATCAGCCACTTTGAAAGGCAGCTCGAGTGATGCAAAAAGTATTTAAGAACAAAAAGTTACTTGGTGGCTGAGGGTACTGAGGTCTAGTTTTTCTCAATCAGCAGAAATATGACCTCTGCTCTCTCCTCTGGCCTCATTCTGAAAAGATGAACAAATGTAAAACCACGAGTGTCTACTAAGGAGAGACTGTGGAGGAGTGCCAGGCCCTCTGACCCGGAACGTCGCCTTCTGTTCCTTTCAGTATATTCCTATTACGGTGTAGGTTTTAAATACTAAAGCTAATAAATCTCTACTTTCTTTAAAGTCAAAGAAATTGGAGTTATAACTTTGTAATTATAATTGGCAATCATAAAACCAGGAAGGAACCCACACAGGCCAGGAAGGAAGAATAAGATTCTGAAAATCCCAGAACACCCTGCTATTCGGTACAATGATAAGAGACACATGGGCAAAGAGGAGTACCACAATCCAAAATTTGCTGTCACTTCATCTCTCAAGAAAAACTCCCTCCAAACAGGGAAGGACCAAGCTCACAGATTTAAAAGGAGATTGATGCCCAAGATGAGAGAGTGGTTGTCAGAAAACATGAGCTCAGTTCTAGTCTCTTGGTCCAAGTGAATTATCCTTCAGGCTCTAAAGCAAGTGTAAGGACGAATGCCTGTTTGGGATAATTAAACAGGAGTTCTGTGAGTAGTTCACAGGAGTGCTAATCACTGGGAGGACAGCATGGGCTCACTAGGAACAAGTCATGATGGTCAGATCTTATTTTCTTTTGTTAAAGGCAACTATCCGGCAAGGAAATGAATTAAACAAAATGGCAATCAATAGGAAGTTCTGCCATTAGGAATCCCAAACCATCTCCCGAGAACAGAAGCTGGGTCTCGGGAGCAGCAGTGAGGATACGGTATAAGAGCAGCATGAAAGACGTACAGGATTTCTTTTTTCATTATTTTTTTCCACCTTTATTGAGGAATAATTGACAAACAAAACTGTATATATTTAAAGTGTACAACATGATGATTTGATATATATATACATTGTGAAATGATTACCAAGATCGAGTTATTAACACATCCATCACCTTTTAAGCTTTTGACTTTTCCTGAAACTTTGTGGTAAGACTGTTTAAGATCTACTTCCAGCAAATTTCAAGTGCACAATACTGTATTATTGACCATAGTCACCATGCTGTACATTAGATCCTTAGACCCTTATAACTGAGAGCTTGCGCCCTTTAACCTACATCTACCCATTTCACCCACCCCCAACCCCTGGCAACCATTGTTCAACTCTGTTTCTATGAGATCAGCTTTTTTTTTTTTTTTAGATTCCACCTATAAGTGATACCATACAGTATTTTGTTTTTCTCTGTCTGGCTTCTCTCACTTAGCATAATGCCCACCCGGTTTATCCACGTTGTTGCAAATGGCAGGATTTCTTTCTTTTTAAGGTTAAATAATATTCCATTATATATATACACCACATTTTCTTTATCCATTCAGCTATTGACTGACACTTACGCTGTTTCCATGTCTTGGCTATTGTGAATAATGCTGCAAAGAACATGGGGGTGCAGCTATCTCTTCAAAATAGTGATTTCATTTCCTTCAGATATATACCCAGAAGTGGGATGGCTGGATCACACGGTTGTTCTATTTTTAATTTTTTGAGGAATCTCCATACTGTTTTCCACAGAGGTTACACAAATTTACATTCCCACCAATAGTGCACCAGGGCTCCCTTTTCTCCACATCCTTGTCAACATCCATCCTGACAGCAGAATATCACTTCCACACATTTTGCTGATTAAAGTCAGTCATGGGGCCAGCCCAGATTCAAGGGGAAGAGAAACAGACTTGACTTCTTGAGAGAAGGAGTGGTAAAGCCACGTTGCAAAAGGACATGTGGAACGGGAGGGATGGTTGCAGCTTTCTCTGGAAAGAATCTGCCAATTTCTCTCCGGGAAAACTATTTAACCACCTGATTTCACTTTCTTCATCTGTGAAATAGGAAATGATACCTACCATTTAGGGATGTTGTGAGGAATAAATTAAGAAAGTGTGTTTAGCACCTGACATATTGTAGTAGCCACACAACAGCAACAACAAAAGCATATATTGATTGAGCCCATACTACATTGCAGCATTATTCCAAGTACTCGCTGTAATTTTTATAACAACCCAATGACACACATACTGGTATTTTCTGATGAGAAACCTTAGGCACACAAATCTTAAGTAACTTGCACAAGGTTGGTTGCACATTAGCTATTCCCTCTACATTATGAATGTCTTACTGCCCGCTATGTCCAAAGGATAATTCTTAGTTTTTGTCTCTTTAAGTTCTATTGACACTTGATGCTGTTGACCACTCCTCCATCAATGCTCCTCCTGTCTTAGCCCCCATAACTCTCCTCTGTCTGATTTTCCACCTTCTCTGATTGTTACTTTTCAGTCTCCTCCTTAGTAAGCCACTTTTTAAACGGCAAGGCTCTCTCCCATTTTTCCAGCTCTTCTTTTCTGGAGGAACCCACCTAATGTGGCAACTCAGTTTCTACCTTTCTACAGATGATTGCCAGTCTCCTCCCTCTCCTAAACTCTAGGTTTGCAATGCTAAGTATTATCAGGGACTCATCACGTACGACCCACATATGACCCAGAAACTTCCATGTCTTTCATTGTTTCTCATTCCATTGATTGGAATCTTGTCAATTAATACTTGAAATGTTTTCCAGATTTGGATGTTCCTGGCCATTAGCCAATGCCTTTGGCCTGATGTAGGCCCTTGTCATATCTTGCCTGGCTTATCAAAGTAATTTCTTAAGGGAATTTATCACTTTCAGTTCCTTTCTGACATAGTTGCATCACTGTTATATTTCTACACACTTTAACACATGCTGCTCCCCACCATTACTACACTAGCCCTGGCATCACACTCTCTGGTTTCCCCTCCACTGTCACGTGGTCTTTTCCCTCCTTTCAAGGACCAGCTTCTGCTATACCTCCTCCACAGGCTCTGTCTCGGCTGGTTACTTCTTATCTAACTTCCTTAGGGCACGGTCTACTTGTCTTTTTCACAACTCTCTGGAGTTAGCTTTACCTTTACAACTCTGCATTTTCTCTGTTGTTCTAATATAAGGTCCTCGAGGCCCTAGCACCATTTACAGCAGGATTTCAAAGCTTGCCTGTTGGGTGAACACTCTATGGTGTCCACAATGACCGTTCTGCACAATACGATGGGCCATGAGATGTCCCTAGCAATGGCACAATCTTGTGGCTAAGAGTGCTAGTTGTAGATATTCTAGTCTACCTGTTTTAGAGAGGGGGCCTGGACACTGGTCTCATGTAAAAGCAAAAAAAAATAAAAATGAAAAAAAATGAAAAGGCCAGCCCGATGGCCTAGTGGTTAAGTTCCCAGGCTCCGCTTGGGCAGCCCAGGGATTGTGGGTTGGATCCCGGTGGTAGACATAGACACCACTCCAGTGTTTATGTCCCACATACAAAATAGAGGAAGACTGGCACAGAAGTTAGTTCAGGGGCAATCATCCTCAAGCAAAAAGAGGAAGACTGGCAACAGACGTTAGTTCAAGGTCAATCTTGCTCACACACACACAAAAAAAATCAAGATTACTCTGTCTCTCCATGTACAAACTTGGGCAGGTGACACCTTTCTGAGTCTGTTTTTTCATTGGTAAAATGAAGCTAACAGTTGTACAGACCTTGTTGGGTTAGCGAAGGAATTAAATGAGATTATATATCTAAAAGGCTTGTGGCACAGTGCCCAGCACACACACACACAAGAGAGAGCTCAATACTCCGTGGTTATTTCTGGGCTTATTGCCCGAAAGGCTGAAGAGGTGGGTGTATGAGAGGTGCCCTCTGTTCCCTTCCAAACATCCCAGATTCTGATACCCTTCGTTGGTAGGTGCTGGAGCCACGTTGGCAATTCTCTCATTAGTTGCTTAGAAAACCAGCCAGGATCTGCGAAGCTCCGGGTAAATCCGGCGCCTTTCTCCGGAGCCGTTTATTTGACCTTAGTTCTCATCTGAGAACCTCCACCTTCTCCAAATCACCCAGATGGTCGAAAAGGTCCCGCGCTTGGAAAATCTTTCCTTTGTTGGCGAATCTCGGCCCCAAACTCCGGATTTGGGCGTCTATCACCCTTAGGCCCATGGTTTATGCCCAGACAGAGCTTTTCAAGTTCGAAGCAGGGACTCGGTTCTCCAGATCCAGCGGGTGTGATCCAGATTGTACCTTTTACTCAACGCACCCAAGAACGTGCTGTGGACGCACCCGGCGAGAGGCGGTGGGAGGGGGAGCTTGGTTTGCATCAGGACACAGGGGTGGGGTGGCGAGAGCGCCCGGAGCGCGCACCCGCTCACACTCCAAGCCTGGGCGCGGCTGTTCTGCGCGCGAGGTCCGGAGCCCAGTCCCGCGCTCCTCTAGGAGCGGGCGAGCGCCCCCGGGGCCCCGCGGGTGCCCAGGCAGGGGACGCCGGAGTCCTGCCCCGCAGCGCGCACCCCTGACCCGGCCCCGCCCCCGGCGGCCGCAAGTGGCGGGCGGAGCGCTAGGAGAGAGGCGCGCCGGGCTGTGCGGCGCCGCCTCTCCTCCTCGCCGGGAGAGGGACGGAGGGGCCGCGGGGGAGAGAGAGAAAGCCCGACCGACCGGCTGGCAAAGAGCTGCATGCAACCGGTGGGAGGCCGGGCCGGCTGGGGCTGCGGCTCGGGCCGTTTCTCGGCGGGTCCCTGGCGGCTAGCGCGGACGGCCCGGAGGCGGCGGCTCTGAGCTGGCAGGCGGAGGGTTGTCTCCCGCGCCCGCCTGCCCGGCGCGGTCCGAGGATGCGGGGGGGCGATGCCCGGGGCCAGGGACGCGCTCTGTCACCAGGCGCTGCAGCTGCTGGCCGAGCTCTGTGCCCGTGGGGCCCTGGAGCACGACAGCTGCCAGGATTTCATCTACCACCTGCGGGACCGCGCCAGACCCCGGCTCCGCGACCCAGGTGAGTGCCGCCGCCGCTGCCAGGCGCGACCGGAGGGCCCTGGGCTGGGAGTTGGGGCCGCACCCGGGCCTGAGGAGAAGAGCGACGCGAACTGGAGGGAGGAGAGGGGTGGCCACCAACCTAGAGAAGGGGATCAGGAACCAGCGCGCAGTGGCCTGATGCTAGCTAGAACTGGGCGGGGACCCCGGCGGGGGCTGCCGCGCGGAGGCCGGGTCCCAGTGGGCTGGGGCAGGGTTGGAGGGACCACGCCCGCCACCTGCGCTCCCACCGCCGGGTCTCCTGGGGGCGTCTCCCGAGCTCGGAGCTCCGCGCTCCACTTCCCCGGCTCTGCGCTCTGTGCCAGGGGAGGCCGCGGCGGCCTCGTGAGCCGTGGAAGGGGGGACGAGGCCGGAGAAACTCTAGGAAGTTGGGAGTTGGGGACGGCCCCAGCCTGCGGCTGAATCCCACTGGGCGCTCTGCATCCTCGCTCCGGAGCGCACACTTCCCTTCCTTGGTCTGGGGTGAGAAGGGCGGGGCGGGATCCTGCGTTGGGCCGGGGACAGGGAGCTCCGGGTCCCGGGCAGCCGGGCCTGAACCGGTTCCCTGCGGGTCGTTTGGCGTGGAGGCGGCCTGGGCCTGGGTGCCCGGCCCGACCAGCTGCCACCGCTGGGTACACCAGCGTCGGTGGACTCGCTGGTCACGGCTTCTGCACCTGCAGTTACCCCTAGTGAAAGTTGCAACGCTCCTAACTTTGGAAAGTTCATTTATTTTGGCATTTGACCAGTTAAGGTTGGAGGAGGGAGTTTTAGTGGAGCCATTTGCCTTCCCCGAGGGCCCTGGGTCTCCCCTGTCTTGTCATCCACTCCTGATTACTGGAAGACACATTCCTTCCAAATGTTTACTTGAGGTTCTTCTCACCTGGAGAAATCATTTTCTCGAATATTCTCTCAACCCAAGTATCAAATAAATAAATAAAGCAAGCATATTGTGGTTGGATTTTTAAAGATGGGGTGAGAAAAATGGCCTTTCCCCTGATATTCCTGTGGATAAATATTGGAAACAAGCTATTGCTGTGCAAATTATCCCACATTAATTTACCTCATTTTCAGCCAATCCATTACATAGAAATCCATTTATTCAAAGGATATGTTATAGAATTGTTTGAATCATGAAGATGTACGAAGACCGACTTAAATAGCATTTCATCGATAGTATATCAAAATAGGTCTGTGGGGTGAAGAGAAGTCATTTGTTAAAAGTTTATGTCAGATTTTCCCCACTCAAAGCCTTATTTTCTATTGAAAAAGAAAGATTATTGTTCCCCATTGTCTGTGGTTACATTAATTAGCTGTATTAGGTGATCACTAATGTGTTACTTCAAAGTGGAGAATTAAGTTGAGAGAGACTGTTGATCCCAAATGATTTCCCTGGAGGTTGAATGTCCAGCCTTTGTGTGGCTCATTGCTGGGTGTGCTGTGCTGCGCAGACCGCAGACATGGATGAGAGCACCTCATTTCATGTTCAACGTGGGGAAAGTTCTGTCCTTAAGCAGCAGGAACAAGAAAATTATCTAGCGTGCTTCACCCAAAGCGAGCGTTAGTGTTGAAACGTCCCACTTGCTCGCCTGTGACTGTGCCTGGAGTTCCCATTGTCATCCCACGTAAGCATCATCTTTGGCTTTGCATGAGAACAGGGATGAGGCCTCTGGCTGAGTCGCGTGTCGAACTCTCCGGATCTCTTTGGCTGATTTTATGTCTCTGCTCCTTTTGATCCACCAGCTGGACTCCATCTTCTTAGGTTTTGCTCAGCCCCTGCACTGGGCAGCCCTTGAGGAAGAATCGTGGAGAAGACTTCTTGCAGGAGACATACCTGTTTCCTTGGCTGAGAAATAGCCATAGCTAAGAGTGTGCCTTGCTATTCTTTGAGTTCCTGAAAGCACTGTTGTGCTTTCTTACCCTAGAGTACAGGGATTTTGAGGTAGCCCTGTGCCCCCCAGATCTTTGTGTCAGGAAGGGGCCTGCTCATGAGGCAGGAGTTGGGGACTGTGAGTGCAAGTTGAAGGAACTGAGGCTGAAGACAACATCCAAAGTGCACCCTCTCTCCCAGGGCACTTAGCTCAGGCCAGAGTTTCTCTTCGCTCCTTCCTCTCCTTGCCCACATTAATTCTTACATCAGATGCATTTATCTCCATCCCTCTGAAGCTGATTGTCTAAGCCAAGAGTGGCTTTAATTTCTGAGCCCTAAGAGCTGCGTGGCTGGAGCAGCTGCACTGCACAGCACTGCGAATGCCCCTGCCATTGTGCAGTGCAAACCAGAATGACCCCGCTCAGCAGCCTGGGACGAGGGTCCCTGGGGAGAGCTGTCTCTGCAAGTGGGCGATTTCCTTTTCTGTAAAGGGACCCACCTGAATGCCAGGCTTGGGCTTTCGCTATTGTCCATCCATGGCTACCCAGTGGTAGGTAGGTTTTTTTCAAGCTCAAAGGAGGAACTTTGGTTTTAAAGGGAGAAAACAGTTGTAATTCCCTGTGGACAGCAGAATGACACTGCAACTAGGATATTTGTTCGTTTTTTCAGAGGTGGGATAAGCCTGGGTCCCAGACTAGTGGGCCATCAGAGAAGTTATTCTTTGCCCAGGTAGTTGCAGCCCCCTGATGTGGGAATATGGTACCTAGTCTTCCCCAACTTGATGTTGAAAGAGGATTTAATGAAAGTGTGATTTTAAAAAATAAAGCTAAGTCACTGTTGGAACTTGAATACCTCACCTAGTACTTCATCTGTACCAACTATGGACAGTAAAATGCTGATCTTTAAGCAGAGTGTGAGCACTTTTTTCTGTAGAGAGTGATTAGAATGCTTCTGTTAGGCGTCTTTATGTTGTTTTACATATTGGCAATGTGGGATATAAACTTGGGAATCTCAGAGAATAGCCTTCACAGCAGAAGGAAGAGCAACTGCAAAGGTCCTGAGGTAGAAGTGTCCTCGATGTGATTCAAGGAAGAGGGAGCTCAAGGGTGGCTGGGGCAGAGTGAAGAAGATAGAGAATGACAGGAAATATGGTCGAGGGTTGTGGGCGGGGGAAGGGGCAGGAAGATCACGTAGGGCTTTGTAAACCCTTCTAAGGACTTTGGTTTTTACTCTGAATGAGATGTGAAGCCGTGAGAAGGAATTGAGCAGAGAGGTGGCAACGCTCTGGCTGCTATGCTGAGAACATACTGTAGAAGATCAAGGAGGAAGACAGAGAAACTTGTTAGGAGCCTATTGTAGTAATCTAGACAGAGGAGAGAGTGGCTTGGACTAGGATAGTTGTAATGGAGGTGGTGAGAAGTAATCAGATTATGGGCACAGTTTGAAGGTACAGCACTGGTATTTATTGATGGAGTGGATGTGAGAGGTGAAGAAGAGGAGTTAAAAGTGACTCCAAGGCTTTTTGACCTAAGCACCTCCGTTTACCGTGTAGGGGAAAACCTCAGCAGGAACAGGGGGGAGGAGAGTAGAGATTCAATAAAGAGGCTGCTGTTTTATTTTTAAAAAGCTTTTGTACATATTAAGTGTGTGATGTCTCTTAGTTACACAGTGATCTGAAGCATGAATGTCTTCTTTAACATCGTCAACTGGTCTGTGCTCCTATTTTGTAACTGGGGACTTCGCTTTCTCCTCAAGAGCATCAATTGATTGTAGGATGTTAAAAGGGTTTTCTTTGTGTAGAATGAAAAGCTCTCTTTAACTTCCACTCATTGATCTTGTTTGTACTTTTTGTAGTCAAAAACAATTAGTCTCTTCTCCATTGTACACTTTGGCTATTAAGAGGTTAGGATTGTAACTCTTCTCAAACTGTTGTTTCCACATCTGGACAAGAAAAAAGGATTGGATCGTGGGATTTCTAGGTTTTAACCATGCTTTACATTTTCCTCATAAGTCTTTTTCTTCTGTAGGGTGCCAACCACGTCTGTGCCAAGCACTTTATGTAGGTCATTTCATTTAATCCTCGTAACGTCTTCTAAGACCTTGCTGCACCAAGTGTTCGTTTGTGGACTGGCAGCATGAACAGCATCTGGGAGCTCATTAGAAACGCAGACTCTCAGACCCCACCCTAGACCCACCACATATGAATCTGTGTATTAACAGGATTCTCAGGTGATTCATGGACACATTAAAGTTTGAGAAGCATTGCTGGAAAGAGATTGGTGTATATGAATAGACTGAAGTGCAGAGCTAAACTAGCACAGGGCCATAGGTTGCATTTAAAAAAGAGTTAAGTCAAAGTAGCTTCTGAGGTAAGCGCAGCACATATGCTAAGAACCTTGGAGTTGTTGTCAGTGAAAATTTTCCAGGCATTTTCGGAAGACCTACCTTTAGGCCTACTTTCTCTGTTCTGTACTTCTATAATGGATTTAATCTCTAAGTGTAAGTTAAATTCTGTTCAGTTATAAAGATTCAGCTCAGTATTTTCATTGCAAATTCTTTTATTCAGGACACTGGTTTTCCATTGACCTTCCAGCTTTGTATTTCTGGAGATTTTTCTTCGTTTTCTGGTCAACTGGAAAATGTTCACCTGATCAGAGTGTGAGGAACAGCCTTATGACATGTCATTAATGATTCCTCTTTTCAAGCGGATGTTAACCCTATTCAGGAAAATCTTTTTCTAGACCAATGATTCTCAACCTCAGCTGTACCTTAGAGACATTTAGGAGCTCTAATAAACAAACAAAAATAAAACAAAAAAGCTACCAATGACTGAGCTTTACCCTAGACCAATTAAATCTGAATTTCTGGGGGTGGCACCTGGTACCAGTATACTTTTTAAGCTCCTCCGTTGATTCTAAAGTGCAGCCAGATGGAAGACAACTGTTGAAACCATCAAGTGAAGGAGGAACCCACCTAAGTCTTCTCAGATCAGCTCATATTTCTTTCTTACGAAATTAGGAAAGATGGTATCAAAAGTCAGGGGCCTTGACTGTTACCTTTGTGCACTTACTACCCAAATGAACTGATTCTTAACTTTTTTTGACAGTATTATTGCA